CCTGGCTTATTGACGATTTACAAGCATTTAACATTCTTAGTAATGAGAAATTTCATGATTTAATATATGAATATGAAGCTCGATTTCAATTTGCATGTATTGATCAAGTAAAGCAAAAAATTTCATTGTCAGTTATATATAGTAAATCAAATTTAAAAAATTTGATTAAAGAAACCCTTATCTCATTTAATTTTACTACCGATTTGTGAACACAATTCCATACGCCCTATATCGGAGTAACAATGCATTGGCTTTCAAATAATTTTATTCTATATTAAGCACTTTTAACAATTCAACAATTTCCGTACCCTTATACTGGTGATGCAATTGAAGACTTTCTTCGTGATTTGTTTACAGAATAGAATATTTCAAGTAAACTATTTGGAGGATTAACCGACAATGCTTCCTCAATAGTAAAAGCTTGTAGGCAGCTTTGTATTTTTTATATTGGTTGTACAGCTTATATGTTGCATATATCTGTCAATAATGGATTAAAAATATAGATGAATTAATTGTAAAAGCAAAACGTCTTAATAGTTTTTTATATAATTGTGACAAATACCATAGTGATTTGATGAGGTATTTTGTAAAACAACATCCAGAATTAAAAGAGCTTCAACCAATTAGTAGCGATACTGCTACAAGATAGAATTTTATATACCTGCTTCTTAAACGACTTTTACTTTTTCAACATCTTGCTTACCAATTGGCTCAACAACTACAAAAAGATATAAGTCAACAAGTAAGAAATGATGGTAATTTATTGTATAATCTTCTTTTAGAAAATTATGAGTGGCAATATTTAGAAGAATTAATTATACTTCTCCAACCATTTGCACAATCAATTATATTTATAGGAGACAGCCATTATCCTACTTTAGGTATAATGTATCTAACGATTCAAAAGCTTTTCAACCATCTTAATACTGTTAAGCTTGCTACATTCGAAGTTCAAGAAGTTTGTAAAGAGATTAAATAGTCAATGTCAAATCGTTGGGATAAGCCAAAAGAAGCAGGATTAATCGCATTTTACCTAGATCCTTGATTTAAAAATTTATATTGTTTAAACTCTGAAGAAAAAATAGAGACAATTAACTTACTTCGTATACAAATTATTGAATCATCTAATTCTTACAGTTGCATCAACACTAGTTCTTATATTAAAAACATACAAGAATATATGATGAGTAAGTTTTTTGATAATAGTAATACTGCTACACAATCATCTCTTGATACCAAATTACAGTTGTACAATAGTTTGCCTTTGGTTCCCAAGTATAACTTAAACTACCCTGAATATGAAAAGGATAAACTACTGTTATTTGGCGCAAATATTTAAAATCATTACCACTTCTTGCATCTCAAGCAAGAATATATTTGGCTATACCTGCTACTTCAGTTCTTTCTGAGTATCTGTTTTCAGATGCTGGCAATTTATTAACTAATAAATGTAATCGACTTGATCTAAATCAGGTACGTAAATTGCTATTTTTAAAAGAAATTTCAACGCATTTTAAATGATATTCCGATTTCAAAATTTATTTTTAATAAAACCTAAATGAAGAGTAGTAAATAT